AAGTCTCCCTGACAACAAGACCAAGTTGTGACAACGTTGTCAACCCACTTCTATAAATTGAAAGGAAACTGCGACCATACTAGAGGTCACAACATCTTGGTCTTCATATATTAAATTAAACTCCTTTAAAGGGTTGTTTTGCTTTTTCACGTTAATTCTCAAACTTTTCGTTGTTGTTGTTCGCTGTGATTCGCAAGCTTTTGGATGCTCAGTGAGACTGCTCGCACACACGGCTATTAAGTCATAAGGGTTAATGATTGAAATAAATTTCAACTCTGAATATAATAAATAATTTTTTGCTTCGATAAATTTTTAATTACAAGATACTTCCTAATTTCTGACTGGTCTGTCTACAATCCTTCAATATGAGATATATTAACCCAATTTCGTTTATTGTGATGAAAGACTGATAGAAGAATAAATTTTCCCACAATTATATGAGTTGAGTTGACGTTTCCATTGAATATATCTCATATTACTGATTTACTTCTAGTCTCGAAACAATACTTAATGCGCAAAATGTATTATAGTAGTCGATTGTTATGGCAAAAAGGCCTAGCCTTCCTTGAAAATTCATATTTGCTCTGTGACCCAAAAGGCGCTCGTGGCAGTCTAGCCGAGTGGTTAGCGTGTCAAGCTCTCATCCTGCACTATCGCGGTTCGACTCCTGCTGAGGGTGTTGATAAGACCGATGCGAGGTCGAAACTGCAGTCCATCATGGATGAGAACAACTTTTGGGAAAGCAAGGCTATGTAAAATTCAATGTAAACGTCAGCTCAGCTCATATCATTGTGAAAAAATTTCTTTTATCAGTCCTTCATCATCTTTAATGAAATTTGGATAATAAATCTCATATTACTGATTTGCTGGTAGTCTCGAAACAATACTTAATGCGAAAAATAGAATCCCTAATTTATATAGAAGGCACATTAAAGCGTCATGCTTAAAACGAGCAATAAGAATAAAGCAGGACAGATAACTCCGGTGATAACAGCGTGAAGATCCTTGAAGCAATCGGCATCATGTGTTGTTTATTTTTGCCTATGCAATTATTTCTTAGACATCCTTCGCTTTTTCGCGCTAAGGAACCATATCTATCATTATATACGCTTGTGCGTATTATTATACATTTTAAAATGTTTTCTTCATTTGAAACTACCCATTTGCAACATTTGAATTTTGGAGCTTTTTATAATCAGTAGTTAAAATATTTTGTTAAATTTGGTTGTTTGTATTGCTATAAATGCTGATTATTTTTTCAATGCTGGAACCTCCTAGCACTTCCTGCCAAAATGGCCTATTGCAATCATAGGGCGATTTTCACCAAAATTTTACCGTCATAAATCCTTAAATCCAAATTATAAAGTTAGCTTTGTGGGTTGGCACACAAGAGTCTAGGGGATAGTAAATTAGAGACTTGTTATTAGAGATAGAAACAGGATAGATGCGACGGAGACTAGAGTTAGTTGGCTGACACTAGACCTGTTTTACCATAGACGTGGTCCATGTAGCAAAGGCTTTACAATTAGACTTTCTCAGAGGCTTTATCCTCGAATTTTTAACCTAAACGCAGGGGATCGGTAATAACCCCTCGAGTTGCACAGATGGGGTGGTAGGGGTTGAATGAAATAATTGAACAAGGGAGATAGCAGACGGATCCTACGGGGCAATACAGAGACTTTTATTTGTCCTAGGTAATGAGGAATGCTAACAATATGGCAGACTGATCAACATTTCCAGCACAAGAGTGAAGGGGGGTGAGAACGCCAGTGTGGAGGGTGGAGGATTCTACTGAAAGTCGTTCATAAGGGTACACTAGACTAGATTTAAATTACCTAGGAAAAAATTGTGATAGTGAAGGCGTGATACGAGGATATAGGATAAGTGAATAGCCCATGATAGAATACGACAACCTCTTAGCACACATTTGGTCAAAGGATCGGCTTCACTTGTCTTTTTGACAAGTTGTAGTAAGGTGCTAAAAATGGCAAAACTCACCGACGATGCCGGCGAAACGTCTGGGAATGTTTTACGTCTACGGTCAAACTTTGGAAATTATCATGCATACTAGTCGCGTTCCTCTAAGTTTTCCTACCAATATGACCAAGTTGTGAAAACAAGGTCAACCAACTTCTATATAACGAAAGGAGACTGCGACTACACATAATGCCACATCGTCTTGGACTCCATATCTT